AGCAGGAAGCTCTCCGCACACTCACCAGACCTGGCTAGGACTGGGTCTGGGGGCTCCTGGAACTCCCGCCGCCGAGGATCCTATCCCACCACCCCTGCTGGCCAGATCCCAAGCCCTGAGGGGCATGCAAGGGACAGTCCCCGGGACTCAGAAGGCTTTAGGCAGGTTTAAAACCTGTATTGCATGTTATTATTATCTTCAAAGTATTTGCTCAGATTATCATATAGACATGCAGGCTGGATCGAATAATGTAAGCACTGTTCTAGTAATTTTATTAGCATTTTTATTGTTTTTTTCTTTTTCTTTTGTTTTTTTGCTGAGTCAGGAATGGATCTCAGGCCCTTGCACTTGCCAGGCAAATGCTTATTCAGCTGAGCTATCTCCCCGGCCCTAAAGTTTTTATTGTTTATTGGTACAATTTAAATATACACAGTGATCATATGAATCATAGAGAATTGTACCTCTATATGATATATCTTGATTCCTCTTATTTTTCCCAATCTTCCCACCTCCAAGCTTTTTCTTTTTTTCCATTTTATTCTTCTTTTATCATATTTTTCCCTTTTCCTTCAGTCCTTTCCCCTCCCCCTTTCTAGTTCCTCTTTCTTTTGAATAGTTTTCATTTTTTACAGTACCTGTTGAACACTTTGGTCCTTATTTATACTTTCAGTTTCTTACACCAGAGAAACAGTGTGATATTTACATGTATGTGTCAAATTTATTTCACTCAAGAGTACAATGTCAGGTACATTTATCTAGAAATGTCTCATGTTTATCCTCCATTATGGCTAAGTAATACTCCATTGCATTAAAAAAAAAAAAAAAAATTAGCCATTCCTCGGTTGTTGGACATTTGAGTTGTTTCCAAGATTTAGCTGTTACAAACTGTGCTGATATAAACATGGCTGTGCATACATCGCTGTAGTATGCTTTCAGTTCTTTCAGGAAGAGACCCAGAAGGGGAATAACTGGGTCAAGTGGAACCAGCAGTCCTAGTGTTTTGAGGACTCTCCACAGTTATTACCACAGTGGTTGCACCAGCCTGCACTCCCACCAACTGTGGAGAAGGGCTCCTTTGTCCCACAGTCCCTCCAGCATTTGTTACTGGTTTTCTTGGTAATAGCCTTTCTTTCTGGTATACTTGCGCTTTAGAATGGAATTTCTCAGCCTTGGCAATAATTTGGGCCAAATGATGGCATGTTTTCGCGATTGCCCTGTGTGTCGTAGGATGTGTCGCAGTGTTAATAAGCCTTTAGAGCTTTCAGTAGTAACAGCCTTCTGAGGCACATGTGTCACAGGTTTGCCACCATTGGTGTGCAGTCAGTCCCAACTTACATACAAGTTCAAAACTTGCACAGATGTGGACAAGACTTTGTGTTACAAAAATTCGTAGATGTGATCAGATTGTGAAAGTAGCTCATGTCTGTTGACTTTGTCACAGTTGTGCTGCTCTGTGCTTACTGTATGGCGCAATAATGTACAGTAGTACAACGCTCAGTCAAAGCCCCGCTTGGCTGGAAGTGTGTCAGAGGTGTGTAAGCCTTACTCTTGGGGATTTACAAACAAATCCAACTTAAGAGCATTCTCCCAGGATGGAACTCCTGTGTAAGTTGGGGACTTACTGGATAGCACCATTTCTAGCCTCTCACTCCCTAGGTGAGCACCCCATCACACTTCGTTACCTTTCATCAGGTCGTAGTGTAACAAGCAGAAGTTCTGCAGTTATTAGAAAATGTCCCCCGGAGGAAGGGGCAAAATAGCCTTCATTTTAAACCACTGATTTTCCTGGTTCGGCCTGTTGTCTTTGAGACTGAGAAGTTGCAAATGGAGCAGCAGCAGCAGCAGCACGTACTTCTAGGGCCTAACACAGGCATCTCAGGAGGAGTGCCAGGGCCTCTACCTCTGCTTCCTGGAAAGATCTAGATGTACTGATAACATAGGAGCTGTCTTGGTGAGAGAAGTTCAGACTCAGTTGTATTTGAACTGCTGATGATTTGTAATTTTTTTTTTAACTTTGGCACATTGATCTAAACTTGGGAGAATTCTCCCTTTGTTGTTTCACGGAGAATCCCAACCTACAGCTGTGCCCTCCTCACTGCCCTCTCTGTCCTCCTGACCTCACTGATACTGAGTGCAGCTATGTGGACGGTTACTTCAGCTCTGGCCGCCCAACCCCTTTTAGTCAGCCACTCCTAACTACCCTGTGGTGGGGTAAAAACCAACACCAGTGGAAGGGATGAACCTCCGACCCGTAGTGACTAGCTTTGGTTATTTTTTCTTTCCAAGAATGGTGGTGTTGGGAGGGGTGAGTGCATGATGGGAAACGGACACCATACAGTACAGCTGGGAGCCTGCGTGCGTTGGAGAGGGAGGCTTGTTGCAGCTTCGGCCCCAAGACGGGGTGATCGGGACAGTGGGGGACAGAGCAGGGGCTCATTTCCTCTACACAGTTTTGACTGTCAGACCTCTGTGTAAAAAGGTCAGTGCTCACTTTTTGTATTTAAAATTAAAAATTATTCAAACTCAATAAAAGAAAAAGAACTAAGCCACTGATTTAGAATATGAAAGGATCTGTAATCTTTACAGCTGAAGTAAATTAGATAACGTAAGTTGTAGGCCTCTGTGGCTTTAACAAGTTCCTTCGTGTTTTTCTGCATAATTTTCTTGCTGTGTAGAGGAATCACAAAGAGTTCCCAATACATGAGACATTGGTGATGAATACTTGAGATGAAATACTTATTGTGATGCTGACATATAGGAAGAATTCTTCTGGTTTTGGTGGTGGTAAAGCATTTTCACACGCTGTTGTCTTTCCAGGTTTCTTTTCCAAGAATTGATAACATGCTTTGTTTTATTTTTAGTTTATCGTCGCATTGTGGAATCAGATGTAGGAGATTCTTTCTATATTCGAACCCACTTTGAATATGAAAAGGAATCTCCCTATGGACTCAGTTTCAACAAAGGAGAGGTGTTCCGTGTTGTAGATACTTTGTACAACGGCAAACTGGGATCTTGGCTTGCTATTCGAATCGGCAAAAACCATAAGGAGGTAGAACGAGGCATCATCCCTAATAAGAACAGGTGAGCATGTTTGGATACTTCTCATAGAATGAATTCAGTAAATGATGATAGATTTCAGTTTCACTGGGAAATTTTTGTTATGTAAAGAATTACTTTTCACTGTATTTACTATATCCATAACTTAGTTATACAAACTATTTAATTGTTGAGATTTAAACTACCTATAAACTTTTTTCTTGTCCAGTTTTTTGACATTTCATTATGGATCTTTTTCCATTTGCTTTTTACTTATTATCTTTTTTTGCATAGAGCTGAACAGTTAGCCAGTGTTCAGTATACACTTCCAAAAACAGCAGGAGGGGACCGTGCAGACTTCTGGAGGTTCCGAGGTCTTCGCAGCTCCAAGAGAAATCTTCGAAAAAGTAGAGAAGATTTGTCAGCACAGCCAGTTCAAACAAAGTTTCCAGCTTACGAAAGAGTTGTTCTTCGAGAAGGTAGTTTTATTTTCTGCAGATTAATTTAATGCCTTTTCATGTTAATAATATGTTTAAGAAAGCAAAAGAATAAGCAATACTTATTCATTCTAATTTCTTCCCAGCTGGATTTCTGAGGCCTGTAACTATCTTTGGACCAATAGCTGATGTTGCCAGAGAAAAGCTGGCCAGAGAAGAACCAGACATATATCAGATTGCAAGTAAGTTGCCTCAAGACAGACTTCTGATGAGTCCCAAGGGGTTTTCTTTACCAGTTAATTCCTCAAAAAGGATGGATCTGACCCTTTTATTGAAGAAGAATAAAACTTTCTGGAATAATTTGTAGTTTACCCTATTCTTTTAAATTTGAAGAGAAGTCTCAGTAATTGTGTTCTTAGCCTACCAATTCCCTTTAATTAGAATAATCCCCATTTACGAAATTTGTGGCTTTGTAGGAAAACTGCTTAGGATACAGTCTTGTATAATCCTCACAATAACATGATGAGGCATGAATTAAAAAACATGCATGCTAGAATCATCCAGCCTGAGCCCTTGAGGAGTTGTGGTTGGGATTGTCACCTGTCTCTGTAGCCTAAAATGTCCTTTTATGATACCCAGCATTGAGTGTCAGAACTAACCCTTCATCCCGGTGCTTTCATTGGCTCTAGTCCAATGTGATCTGATAGAAATACTCAGATAGGTAAAATTGGATAATAAAGCCTGATTAATGCTGTCATTTGTTACTGAAGACATTTATAGTAAAGTATGAAATACAAACATGGAGGCAGCAGTGGTTGGCTTGCCTGCTGCCTTTGCTTACAGATGCTTTACTTGGTTTACTAGCTTGGATATTGTGGTAGTTTAAATAAACAAACTTAGTTATAATCACTTTGGCTTACTTTATATATGAAAACTTCACTGCATTTTTCCAGTTATAAATATATCACTTTACTTGGAAAAGTTAGAAAATGATTTTTACATATATTATCTACTGTCCTAGATCTTATATCATTGTATTTTCTTCTAGCCTTTGAAATTAAATTCTTAAAGGTTGCCTTTACTTTTTAAAGTATATAGCTTGTTCTCTTTAATAGAAATATTTTCATGTTAACTGCAGTCAATCTAATTTATTAGCTTTTCTTTTATAGTTTGTTTCAAATTTACATTTTACTGTTATGAAAGGTACAGAAATCTGACCATTTTTTTTGCTTATAGTCTGTCATATTTCTCATGACATTTAAATCCTAAGACTGTAAAAAATCAAGTTTCTCCCATGTGATGACTTTCCTTGACAAAATTTTCAAAATAGCCAAGACTGTACCATAGGATATTAAGACTTTCTGTCTGTAGAGCTATGTACTTGCTGTAGCCTTCCAGAAGATTGAGCTATGATGTGTTACTGTTCTTCTGACTGATATTAGGTGAGGCCCTGACTAACGTTTTTAAATTTTAAAGAATCAGAACATTGCCTTTTTAGCATTGTTTTTTATTTGGTTGGTGACAAAGTTCAAAGAACATATTATATTTTACTAAAAATCAGATTTGAGGACCAGTGAGGTATCTCAGACTAAGTACCTGCTTAGGCAAGCACAGGGTCCAGGATTTGATCCATAGCACACATACCACGCCAGCTCTGCCCCTGTGCGTACTGAGCTGGCCACCGAGACCCAGCATAGTAGCACATGCCTATAATCCCAGTGCTGGGGAGGCTGAAAACAGGAGAATCATTATGAGTCTGAGCTGTAGTGACACCCTGTACCATATAAATTATTAACAAAAAAAGACACTGGCATAAAAGTCAGATTTGTAGACGAATGATAATAAAAGGTGAGCTAGTTAGAAAATGCCCACTCATCATCTTCATTTTTTTCAAGAGAAATCTTGTAATTATTTGTAGGTAACATTTCTCTTACAATCAAATACACAGTTTTTAAACTTTGGAAAAACAAAGTGGGAAGACTTAACAAAGCTCAATTGAAGGGTTTAATAGGACAGCTAAATAGGTCTTACTTTATGGGGTAGGCTATTTTCAAACGGCTTCTGATAGTTTAGTTGTGTACCGTGAATCTTGTGAGAGACCTTTGAGTTAAAGAGATGCGCAGTATTTCCTTCAACTCATAAACTTCCAGTTGATCTCTGTCCTTAGTTCTCCTGTGTCCACAGATTTGTAATTCTGCCCTGCTTGCCCATGAAAGCTTACTGTGCTTCAGTCTCATTCTCTGTAAACTACTCAGTTTGCTTTTGAGTGACTTGCCCTTCCAAATCTTGGCTCTCATCTGATCTCAGTCACTTTGCTCCTCCTTTTCTTTAAAGCTTCCTTTTATGACCAGTCACAGACATTGCTGTGCTTCGTTAATGGAGAACTTCATATAGATTGGACTGCAGTTGTTTAGAAATCAGCCCCAGCTAGATTTGACATTTTATATGCTAGTTGGAATGGGTAGGTTGCCGAGATGAAACTATCGGCTATCTTATGTCACAGTTACGGATGAATAGCTTTCATATTCTCCTTCTGCTGATGTAACTGGATCTGTAGCCCAGAATTCCCCAGGTGGTCTGCCATAGCCCTGCCATGGCTTATGGACACACTGAAGCACTGAGATCCTGAGCCCACCCCGCAGGGCAGGACAGGGTGGGGCTCAGCGCAGGAGCAGCTTCCTCCGTTTGTCTCGCATGCACTCGGATCATAATAGCATTTCATTGTATGTCACAGTGAGGAAGAAAGTAGCTGCTTAGCTGTATCTTGAGCCATAGCAAAAGACATACGCATTCCTCTGTACCTGTTGATGAGTATTTTTATAACTAATTCTGCCAGGATACTAAAGTAGTTGGGAAAATGTTGGGAAAAGTAAAAAATATTTATACTAAATGTAGAGTTTATTGTAATTCTACTTTGCTGATTTTAATAGGTGTAGACACATTGATAGTATGTTTTAAAAAAACTTCATCTCATTTTCCAATGAAGAAATTGGCATTTAGTAATTTCTCTTGACCAAGTGGTAGTATTAAATTACTTTTTTAACTCAAATTTCACTTACAGATTGATTTTGCTTAAAATCTTAATAGGTTCATTGTGAAAGTTTGCATTGATAATAATTTATTTTGAAACTGCTACATCAAAACATTGTCTTGATAACCAAAGATTCTTTGAGACACCTCCTTTAATTTTCTATCAAAACAAACATCTCACCTACCTACTTCTAATCTAACCCAGTGATTCTTAGCTGGGCTGGGAGTAGGAAGTAGATGATATCCCGCTGAGGAGTTTAGTCCTGTCTGGGGACATTTTTGTTTCTCAGCAGTGGATGAGGAGGACCTTTGAGAGTGGGTTATCTGCTGAAGGACCTCTGGTGGGTGGAGGCCACACTAAATAGGCCAGCTTGTCAGTAGTGTGCAGTAACTGAGAAATTCTGGTCTAACCAATGGAAATATGATGTTTTGTCTTTGTCCCAACTTTGTGAATAGAAAGTGAACCACGAGATGCTGGAACTGACCAACGTAGCTCTGGCATTATTCGCCTTCATACAATAAAGCAAATAATAGATCAAGTAAGTTGTTAAAGGGGACCTGTTTCATTGCAAACTACAATGGTTTTGTTTTGAGTGGGAAGAGATTGATTAATTCACAGGTAGAAGATATTTTTCCTGGTTGTGATTCAAAGAAAATTAAACCCTTACTAAAAGACAATTATAAGCAGTATCAAAAGATGATCATTTATTACTACAGGGAAGTGGCTGGGTGGGGTTGGTGATGCATACCTGGAAGGCTGAGGCAAGAGGATTTCTGCCCGCTTGAGGCCAATCTGGGCTACATAGTGAGTTTAAGCCCACCCTGAGCTACATATTAAGACCCTGTCTCCAAAAAAAAAAAAAAGCCCACAGGTATCTATTGTTTAGGTGCAGTTAACAGATTATATGATGTCAGTGCAGTTTAAGGTACACAGGGAATATCCAGAACATTAAATCATTACACATATGTTTATTCTCAGCACATGTAATACTTTCAGTTTGCACATATTGGAGTTAATTCTTTAAAATATGCCAATTAGAATTTTTTCATAATTTAAAATCAGGCTACAAATTGTATTGAATTAACTTCTGACTAGAAGGTTTTTTAACATATACTCCTGAGACATCGTAGAACACAAAAGTCTGTAAAAACTGAAATGTAGTATGGGCTGTATGGCTTTTTCTGAAGATGATGGTTTTAATTAATGATTTTTTTAATTAAACCTTTTTGTGTTTTTCTTTGTCTCCAGGACAAACATGCTTTATTAGATGTAACACCAAATGCAGTTGATCGTCTTAATTATGCCCAGTGGTATCCAATTGTTGTATTCCTTAACCCAGACTCTAAGCAAGGTGTGAAAACAATGAGAATGAGATTATGTCCAGAATCTCGGAAAAGTGCTAGGAAACTGTATGAACGATCACATAAGCTTCGTAAAAATAATCACCATCTTTTTACAAGTAAGTATATGAGGCTTTCTTTCAGTTTCAAATGTCTAGGCAGGTTCAGCGAGATAGCTCAGCAGTTTGAAGTGCTTGCTTAGGCAAGCATGCAGGGACTGTGGTTCAATCCCTGGCATCACATGCCATGCCAGCCTCTTCCCCAGCGTGGGCTGAGCTGGCCACAAAAAAATTTAAAATAAAAGTCTAGGCAACAATATGTAGGCAAAAATATTATTTCAGTACTAAATGTTCAAATATTAAAATGTATATAACCTTTGCCTGGATAGCGTCCTCTTAACAGGTGAAATAAAATGTACAGTACTCAAATAGAAATTTCAAATGTTTTGAATACTACCTTTTTAATAGTGATAGGAAGTGTTAAATGAATTTGACTGATTTTGGACAGTGTTCTAACCATAAACTACACTGTACATTTATTTTCAGCTACAATTAACTTAAATTCAATGAATGATGGTTGGTATGGTGCACTGAAAGAAGCAATTCAGCAACAACAGAATCAGCTGGTATGGGTTTCAGAGGGAAAGGTAAGAAAATACGTTTTTAATCCACTCAGTAAATGATATAACTAGTCAAAAATGTCTTTTGAGTTACCATTTTCTTACTGGATTAAACTGATAGAGTAATTTTTGAAAAGTTGGCATTCGTGATTTTTATGTAAGTTTTATAAAAGTTGTGTTGAGTGGTAAGAGATTCTTAAACTTCCTGACTCTGTTGAATTACTTCAGTGGAATTCTTCTCAAAGGATTCTCACTTTATAATGAAAAACAATTCTGATCGTGCCCCTCATTAAGGAAAGTCAGGTTTGAACCTGGCTGCAGTTTCCTCCTCTGAACATGAGGAGATTTGGAAGGTTTAAGTGTTTTCTGTCTTTAGTAGATGACAGTCAGGACCCACTTGCTCTGAAGGAAAGTGGTGGGTGGGGAGTGTGGCCAGCATTCATCCCCTAGGAGTGTCCCAGTAGCCATGAGTACTTTGGAGGCTTGAGGAAATCTTGTAAGTAAAAAAACTTGGGTCATGTGTTTCCTCCCAGTTACATTTTGGGAATTTGGTTTTCTAACATTCTTACAACATATTGTGAAATACTAAATAAAGTAATAGATTTTTTTTCTAGCTTTGCATTTTGATTATATGTACACCCAAATAGCTAGCCTGAAAGGAACTACTTTGTCTTGTCAGCTTGGTTTTACTGCAACCTTTGATGGGAAATATGTGTTTATTTACTTATTTTTGGAGATTGTTTTTCTCAGAGTACTCTGTAGAAGGAACCTTTGTTTTTAATGTCTTCCTCAGATTATTATGGTGTTTATACATATAAGATTTAGTTGTTAGGATTGAGACTACTAGCTCTGATTTTTTTTGTTTGTTTTGCTTTTTTGTATTTTCTTGTTGGTTTGGTTTTTAATGTGTTGTTTGCCCCTGCATGGCCCCTACTTCCCCTGCCTGGCTGTTGATACGGATGCTGTGGCAGTGCATGCTGCATGCTTGGGGCCATGTGCCCTTTATCTAGAAACAAGGCCTATGCAAGATGAGATGTTAAATGTTTTCATCTAGAGATAATGTGACTGTTCTCACGGATAGTAGAGCATCAGAACCCATGACTTTTCTCATTATGTACCAGTAGAGACCATGCAGAAGAGATAATGACTACTTTGAATTATTTACACATCAGCTGGGGCACTTGATAGTGAAATAATCAAGATGGGGAAACACACTACACCACTTTACAGCAACATACTGATTTTTACTCTTGTGGCATTGACAAAACGTATTCTTCATACTGTCTTCTCTAAACTGTGCCATTCTGTTGGTGCCTTTTGTCAGGTAGAATGTTACTGGCGTGCGCTAGTCAACTCTTGAAAATCAGTACATCTTTTCTCAAAATGTACAAAGTATACATGTCTGCCTGAAAGGGGCTTTTTTGTTTTGTTTTTTATTTTATTTTTTTTTAATTCACAAAACTGTAATTTCTCTTTGAGATATTATCATGTACTTTGTTGCCTGGTTTAACAAGTGTGTAATAACTCCCCAAACTTATGTGAGGACGATGTCATTTATTATGAGGATAGGTTGCTGCATTTTCTAAGTCACAATGGTGGTTATTATAACTGAAATCCAGCTTGGTTTCTCTTCTGCCCCCTTCCATCAGGTATGTTAGAATAAAAGAAATGTCATCTTGAGTCTTAACATGTGAGCACACTGTCTCTTCAGGCAAACCACCCATGGTTCATGCTCACTTTTGCATTGCAAGCCAAGTGTCGAGGCCAGGCGGATTGGTGAATTCTAAGCCATTCTTCCCATGTCTTAAAGATTTCCCTGGCAAGTTAAAGACTGGAGTTGACAGGAAGGCTTCTCTTCTGCGGCAGCCATTACAGCGTTCAGTCAGGGACATTTTGCTCTAGGTGGGCCAAGCCATGGGATTTTCTCTCTCTCCTTGGCCTGGCAGGTGCTCTGATGATATTAGAAAAGAAAGAAAACAAAACCAAAGACCTGTGGAGAGGCATGGCACACCCTAGTTTTTCTTTTTAGGAAGGCATTGTTCAGAGTCAGGGTCTTATACAGCCACATACAGACTTCTCAGAAAGCTCCACTCAGCCAGCTCACTTCCCAAGACCATGTTCCTGGCCTGCAGCCCTGCACGTTCACACCACCCTGCTAATTAATAGCAGTCCATCTTCCTGGAGAACCAGAGTCTTACGTAGGTCATACAGTCCATGCAGAAATGGAGGAACGATTTTCTGATTTGGGGATTCCTGATCCTTCACCTCTCATGCCTAAGGAGGCAAAACGTCTATGGAGGATCTTCAGGGACTGTTCTGTTTAACCTGGATACTAGTGTCAGAAAAGTGTCCTGTAACTACTTGTTGATTTCAGTTCCATAGCTTCCATTCCCTCATACTTCGGTCGTTCTGATCTCCTCAGAGGCCACTCAGTGTAGAAAAGTAGAAACTTAACTCGGCCCTCAATTGCTTGTACAAGAGAAGCATAACTGCATTTCTCCCTTTTCATCCATTGGATACTGCTTCTGTGAAAAACAGTAAACATTTCTTAATTGAAATGTTACTACCATTGAAGTGGTCATTTTCTATTGTGCTTCATAAAAGCTTTAGGCACCAAGTACAACTTTTTTTATAAGTTGTTTCTAAGTATAAATTTATTACCGCTTACCGAACTTGAACCGTGGGGTTGTTTTCATAGAGATTCTCGTGTATGCTGTTCTGTTAGTGTGTCCTTGTTCATGTGAGTGTGGTTTGGTAGTATTCTCCTTCACCTTGCTTTGGGCTGAAAAGCTACCAGCCAGATTTTATAACCCTGAGTCGTGCCAGATTCCTTCGCTGTTTTCTGGGGCTGGCCTTGGAGTCCAGCTTGCCCTGGCGGCCGTCTCCCAAGCCCTTCAGCTCCCTAGGGTGCTGTGTGTGTCTGCATGTGTGCTTGTGCAGTCTTCTTGACATTTCCTCCCCAGAATTTTCAAGAAATAGATACTATTTATCCGAAGAAAAATATCCTTTCAGTCTCCCTTGTAAAATAAAGGCCATCTCTTAAAGAACTACTGAATAAATTTTTTAATTTACTTTTATTTGACCCAGGCGGATGGTGCTACAAGTGATGACCTTGATTTGCATGATGATCGTCTGTCCTACCTGTCAGCCCCAGGTAGTGAATACTCAATGTATAGCACGGACAGTAGACACACTTCTGACTATGAAGACACAGATACAGAAGGCGGGGCCTACACTGATCAAGAACTAGATGAAACTCTTAATGATGAGGTTGGGACTCCACCGGAGTCTGCCATTACACGGTCCTCTGAGCCCGTAAGAGAGGACTCCACTGGGATGCATCATGACAACCAAACATATCCTCCCTACTCACCACAAGCTCAGCCACAACCTATTCATAGAATAGACTCCCCTGGATTTAAGACAGCCTCTCAACAGGTAAGCAGCAAGCATTCAACGTTTTGCAGTTAGAGGTTCATTATTAAATTTTAGAATGTGGTGATTGCATTACGGAATATATTTTGTCCTTTCTTCACATTAAAGCGTAATCTTTAATTTCAGTTTGAGAGTATTGAAGACTATTAAATTTTGTATGTTCATCTTACACAACAGTATACTGAATTTTTCCCAAAAAAGTTTACATGAGGTCATAGTGTAACATTGTTAATTCAGCACACTTAAAAATGTGTGTCAGCCAGTCACTATAGATTAAAGTGGGACGGTAGCAGTAAATAGAAACACTATATTTAAAATATTTTAAACACTTCACAGAAAGCAGAAGCCTCATCTCCAGTCCCTTACCTTTCGCCTGAAACAAACCCAGCATCATCAACCTCTGCAGTTAATCATACTGTAAATTTAACTAATGTCAGACTGGAGGAGCCCACCCCAGCTCCTTCCGCCTCTCACTCACCACAAGCTGATTCTTTACGAGCACCAAGTGCTGAGGCAGCTCACATAATGCTAAGAGACCAAGAGCCATCATTGTCGTCGCATGTAGATCCAGCAAAGGTATCTGTGCTGCAGTGTCGCACTAATTCGTTGCTCTTCATCAGTCTAGCACATGATCATTTTTGCTTTGCCCTTTAAGTTTTCCTTTTGCTTTTTTACTGTGGGCTTAAACACTTTAGTGCTAAATCAGTACAAATCATTTCAGTTTTGTAGTTTGCATGGCTTCCAGTATACCGATTGTTTGAGAACAGGCTTTTTAATTAAGATTTGTGCTTAATATTTTTATTTTTGGTTTTTATTTTTTCTAGAATTCCTTAATAGATAGTTGAGATCCATCATAAATATTTCTATGCTTCTATAAATTCTGGTGTCCATAAATTTTCTTCATGATTTTAATTTTCAGTATCAAAATCAAGTGGAATCAATAATAGAGTATTAATTTTCTACTAAATTTAATAATCTTTAACTCACTTTTCGTTTAGTACATGCTAAAACATCAAAGCCTCTAATTGCACTATAAATTTTGAGCTTTCATTTAAAGTGGCTTTCTTCACTAATCTTGTCTGAGCTGGTAATAAATGGTAGAACATACTATTTTCATATTAAAATAGTTTAATATTAGTCCTAGTCTAGTAAAATAGACTAGAATTAAAGACGAGTCTGTGTCCTTACGCATGGATCTTTTCTCATAGGCATACAGAAAGGATCCATACCCTGAGGAAATGAGACAAAATCATGTTTTAAAACAGCCAGCTGTTGGCCACCCAGGGCAGAGGCCAGACAGAGAGCCAAATCTGGCCTATGAGCCCCAGCTTCCATATGTGGAGAAACAACCCAGCAGAGACCTTGAGCAGCCCACATACAGATATGACTCCTCAACCTATACAGACCAGTTTTCTCGAAACTATGACCATCGCCTACGATACGAAGATCGAATCCCTCCATATGAAGAACAGTGGTCATATTATGATGACAAACAGTCCTACCAGCCTCGGCCATCCTTTGATAGTCAGCACTCTAGAGACTTGGACTCCAGACCTCATCCTGAGGAGTCCGCAGAGCGAGGGTACTTTCCACGTTTTGAAGAGCCAGCTTCTCTGTCTTACGATAATAGACCCCGCTATGAACAACCACCTAGAACCTCCACCCTGCGACATGAAGAGCAGTTAGCTTCTGGGTATGACATGCACAGCAGATACAGACCAGAAGCGCAGCCTTATCCTTCAGCAGGTCCCAAGTCATCTGAACCCAAGCAGTATTTTGATCAGTACCCACGAAATTATGAGCAAGTACCATCACAAGGATTCACTTCCAAAGGAGGCCATTACGAGGCTGTCCATGGTGCTGCAGTTGTCGCTCCTCTGATACCTTCCTCTCAACACAAGCCAGAGGTTCTGCCTCCAGCTACCAAACCATTGCCTCCACCCCCTGCTCTCACTGAAGAAGAAGAGGATCCAGCAATGAAGCCACAGTCTGTGCTGACCAGAGTTAAGATGTTTGAGAACAGAAGGTCTGCCTCATTGGAGAACAAGAAGGATATGAACGACACCGCCGGCTTCAAGGTGAGTGTGCTGTTGTGTCTCTACAGTCCCAGATCAGTGGGTACAGTGGGTGAAGAGCAGTTCAGAGCACATCTCAGCTCTTCCCTCTCCCCAGAGCAAAGCCACTCATAGTCTTCTGTTCCTTGGGTATCTGTTTTCTGCAGCCTCCAGAAGTAGCATCGAAGCCTCCAAGTGCTGCCCTCACTGGTCCTAAGCCCACTCCTCAGAGTCAATTCAGTGAACATGACAAAACTCTGTACAGGTAGGTTTGCTTGTGGCTTTTGTAGTGCAGAGTTGACATGCATTAACTCTTGGTGAGAAGACTCTTCACTGTGCTAGTAGAGAAGTGTGCAAAGGAGGACAGGATCTTTTTCTTGTCAGACAAAAACCACCAGCTCTCCTAGAACAGTAGTCCTAGGCAGAAGAAAGAGTTTTAGTAGAGTTTCTGTAACAAATAATTGTTAGACCTACAGTAAACAAATCTTTTGAAAAGAGATATTCCTAGCAAATGATTAAAAACTTGGAAGCCCTATTATTTGCATTACGGTTTTTGTTTGTTTGTTTTACAAGTGCTTACAGACATGTGACCTCAAGATTTTTAGGCAGAGCAACATACTTAGGTTGCTTTAAATGACAAAAAGTAACCGCTTAGTGAATACACATAATGTTCTTGCCTTTGTGGTGGTAATCGCACAACACATTGTACTTGAAGAGAGCTGCTAAGGTGGCCAGGGCCTGGCTAGCATATCGGAGGTGTCGGAGCTAGGGAGAAACCTGGCTCACCACTGCTCGCTCTGCTCTTAACCAGGTTGCATCCTGCTGAGTGACAGGACTGTGTTTGAATATAGCTTACATATGAAATGTGCTTTATTTATTAAACGTACATTGTCAGTTGCAGTAGGCAGGAACTGCTGTCCAGTGTATTAATTTGTTTAGTAACTTTTTATCCCTCTGTGCTTTCTGTATCTACTGCAATTTTGAATAAATAGGGCTGTTTGTGCATATGAGACTGAACTAAAGTTCTTTTAAAAATTCTTTCTAAAGTTCATACATAAAGTCTGTCACATATTGTTACTGACACTGATATATATACCTTGAGCTGTTCACCACTGTCTTGGTTGTACTGCCCTCCTTTTCCCTGATTGCCTGCTTCCATCCTGCCTTGAGACTCTGAGCAGGTAATTGTTACTTACTGAATTGTACAGAAGGACTTGTGAGCCGGAGGAGGCTGCCTTTGAGTAAACTCCCTGAGGCTGTGCGACTTGAAATACTCACTTTGCCTGTTTAACTGCTCAGTTAGATCCAAACAATTGCAGCAGTCTATGTAAAGGCCAAGATAAGATTTATATTTTGTTTTCTTTGTAAAGCTAACATGTGAGAATTGTTCCGTTTGTTACTCATTGCCTGTTAGAATCCCTGAACCTCAAAAGCCTCAGCCAAAGCCACCTGAAGATATCGTTCGTTCAAATCATTACGATCCAGAGGAAGATGAAGAGTATTACCGAAAACAGCTCTCATACTTTGACAGAAGAAGTCTTGAGAACAAGCCTCCCGCACACATTCCTGCCGGGCACCTCTCAGAGCCTGCCAAACCAGTTCATTCTCAGAGTCAACCAAATTTTTCTAGTTATTCTGCAAAGTAAGTTATTTCATCTTAAGGCCTGCTTTTTAAATATGAAGGCTCTGTTGCAGAAGTGGAATCAGTCACATGAAGTTCAGTGCATTTTTAAGGGAAACAGTTACATATAATCCATGAATTCTTTAGACTGTAGTGGCTCCATATTTTTTAGTGCTGGGTGTGTATTTGATTTTTGTTCTTAACCTGTAAAGGTTTTTGTGTTAGAAAATATGCACAAATAAATGGTTATGATGGAAGAGTAAACCAAGATCTGGAATTGAATGTGAATTCTAAAAGGATCCCCACTTTTATACATACATTTAACGATATTCTTTTCTGTATTGTCTGTTTTTGTCTTTTGAACACAAAAGTAAGAGTGGGGTTTCTAAAGCAAGAATTGTGTTATCAGTGTAACTTGAAGGGGCTTCAGAGATTTTTGCTCCAGTTTTATACATGAGAAAACCAAGGCCAGGTGCAGTGGCACAGAAGAATTAGGGCTGTACTCATTTTTTGACTCTTGGCTTTGTTTTCCCTGTCTGTGCCACTCCATTCTCTTGACTTTCTTATTGTGTTTTCTTGTGTTGTGTCTTCTGTTGGTTCTTTTCTCTGGTTAAGCCCTGGCTCATAGAGTTTAGTCCTAAGAGTTGGGTATGAACTCATGCAGACACCAGCAAGTGCATACTTCCATAAGGCAAAACCCAGATGACCGAAAGTAGAAGTGAGTATGTTGCAGGGAGTTTACGTGTACAAGCACAAGAGCCGTGTGAGCGAGTGAAACCTGGGCAAAGAAATCTATGGGAGATTTCTCCATGCTTCGGAAGGGTCTTTGCCTAATGAGGTGAGGCTCACCCACATTGTCTCACTTCTGGTCAGCCTAACACCAGTAGAGGGGGGCACTGTAGCTGAGAAACCCCCTTGTGGCAGCACCTAAGTGAGTGTTCAAAGATCTGAGATCCGGTTCATCCTAGCCAAGGTGACACACCAGAAGTCATCACACGCCAGTTTTGTGTTTAAGATTAAAAGCACATAGATTTTCATTTAATTTAGATGCTTTGTTTCTCTGAACCTATCATTTGTTGTTTGTAATATTAGGAACTTGATTTTAATTACCTGCTTTTTGTGTGTGAGACATCGTTTGAAGTGAAGACTTAAAACATTTTTCCACTATTATCTATTTAAATGCTCTTATCTGCAGAAAAATGCAGTTTGAAACATACAAATGCAGACTTTGAGTGCTACAGCAGAGATGCTGCGAGGTACAGCTGGTGTCTTACATCTCGTACTGTCCTATTGCAAGGCTGGACAGATGCCCTTAGCATCCAGGTCAGAAGGTTAGGCCTCGCCTGAGTTCCTTTGGTAAGCTAGATGGGTATATCCTGTGGTAATCATTTTTATGTACACTGTTATGTACACATTAAATATATTAAAAGCGGGCCCACAGTGTAGGTTAAAGAGATACTTTATCCTTTTACATACTTGATAAATAGTATGCAACTTTAAAGGAGTACAATGAGATCTAAAGAAATCAAATCAAAGGTGTTTTGATTTTGTGTTACTCTGTCTCTGTAGAAAGAAGACCTAATAGCTTAGGATAGATGACTCTTTGCCAGGGTCTAGAACACAACTTAGCGTACAGTAGGGGCTCCTACTTCCTGAGTAAGTGTAACTCAACACAGGTCACACGTAGATAGCACCCTCCTGTTGGTGAGCACGGCTTTGGGAGGAGCCAGTGTTATTGATTGTAGTTTTCATAATGATACATTGTATTTGAAAGAAACAGCATCACTTTTGCTTTTTAAACTAAGTTTATGAGACTAGTGGCAGGACTGCGACTGCATGTGGTGGCATACATCCATAATCCCAGCACTCAGGAGCTGAGGCAGGCGGATTGCTGTGAGTTCAGGTCCAGCCTGGGGTGCATAGCAGAGACTAGTCTCAAAACAACAAAAAAAGATAAATGACTGGTGGTTTTGTGGGCTGTGAGAGTCAAGCGTGGCAGCGTTTCAAGTGAAGCCCCGCTCACTGCGGGCCTTCCCTGCACCTGGGTGAGGGGTTGCTAGGAAGACGCATGCATTAAGTGCAGGTGTAGTGCAGAGATACACATGTTTCCGTTTGCTGATTCTTCATTACCCTGAGGGATCGGTAGCTGTCTTGTTGAATCACCGTTTCTGTTTTTGAGAATGTCTTTCACTGAGCTTTTTTTCTTTTATTGGAACATTTCACTCTTACTCAGAACCTGCTCTCGTGGGTATGGTGGTGCATCCCTGTAATGCCAGCAGCCAAGAGGCTAAGCAGGAGGATCACCATGAGTTTGAGGCCCTTTTGAACTTGACATGTTAAGACCTTGTCTCAAAAAGAAAAAAAAAAAAAAAAAAACCCTCATTGTCTCTAGTTACTGCTCCTTGATTGGTTCCTTTTGTGCTGTTTTTTGAATTTTTGATGCTGGGGATCAAACCTGGGGTCTGGAGCATGCTGGGCAAGTGCTCTGTCTCTGAGCAGAGCCTTTCGGCTTCGTTTCTTTCACCATTAGTAGCTGCAGCAGAGAAGGACAAAGGTTGAAGAGCAAATCCCAAACACATTGCTCCTCATTGACCACAAGTAAATAATGCGGAGGGTGGGCAGGCGGGGAGGGTGTACTCAGGGACTCCGTTTTCATATGTTGGTAATCTCCTTGGATAACAGAATTAGCGATGTTTTTTGTTTGTTTTTAATGAAGCAAATTATGCTGACATGGTGGATGTTGGTTTATGTTTTAAAGTGACATTTGAGTTCCATTTGCTGTAGATTTACTTAGTTAGATTGACCATTTTCTTTCATTTTTTTATTGCGCTTGCTTTGCCATCACCTAGATTTCTTGGCTCTTACACTAGCTATGACTACTTGAAAAGGAACATCAAGTGGTAAGATTGGCATTAATGTGAGGCTGTTACTTGAGGTGTCCCTCACTGTGTCATTGGCATTATGTGCACTTAGGAATCTTAACATCATCCTCAAATGCTTAGTGTAAACGAATGTGAGCAAGGAACAGCATAGTTGTAAAGCTAACCATAGAGCCAGGGAGATAGCTCAGTGGTCTAAGTGCCTGTCTGGCAAGTGCAAGGACTGGGATTCGATCCCTGATCCCACATGCCATGCCGACCCCACCGGCGACCAAAACTAGGCATGGTGGCACACACCTGTAATCCCACCCAGTCTGGGGCGGTTGAGACAGGAGGATATTACAAGTCCGAGCTGTGTAGCGAGACCTTGTACTAAATAAATGAAGAAAAGATTTAAAAAAAAAAAAAAAAAAAACAACTAATCATAAGACTAGACTTAAACCAAAGTGTTCTATGAAAATAAAAGTACATTCCAAGTACATATGGTACTGACTGTGCACATAAAGCCAGTGGAGCTTTGGCACTCTGCAGTAAGGTTTAGATGACGATGTTGCAATTGCAGGTTTATTTAGAAGATTTCTTTTGTTTGAGTTGTGTGTGTTAAATATTAACAATTGGCAATTTGAACAAATAAGGATACATGGCATAATTTGACTTAAACAAGCCTTGTGGGAAACAGAATATCTGCTACTCTAGCAGTCACTAAACAAAACAACAACAAAAAAGATCTAGTAAATCAAGGACAGATTTTAAAGTAAAAGATCCTAGTTTTTTAATGTCACTCTAACACACCTATGGCCTTTCATTGACTTACTGTCTGTGGCTTTTTAAAGGTAAAAGTTGAATAGCTGTGCAGAGATTATATGACCTAAAAAGCCAAAAACATATGCTCAATCTGGCCCTTTTCTGAAAACGTTCCCATCCTCTGGTCTATGATGCCATTTTTAATGCGTATGCTAAGGCTGCCAGGCACCTCGGCTTGTTGTACCTCAGACACAAAATCAGAAGTGGGTGTGAGAAAGACTTGTGCCAGCGTACGTGTTACAGAGCACAGTGTTTACAAGACTTCCTCAGACCTACCACACATCACTGTTTTTTGTAAATACTACAGTTTTAAAGTATACCTAGTTTAATCTGCCTTTTGGTTGCTATCTTCTGGATGTTTTACTAATATTCTTAAAGTATCTGTACTGTCTTGACATTATTTGTGCTGATGAATGGTTGAATTTGTTTGTACATTTTTGGTAGAGTAGCTTAGTCAAAATTGTGAAATGTCTGAATTTTGTTTTAAATGTAGAAATTCTTGAAGGAATGAGAATTTGTTTTGTAAATGAGTTTATTTACAAGTGTTGGTATTTTTTCCATATTTTAAATAGGGGAAAACCTGAAGCTGATGCTGGTGACAGATCATTTGGTGAAAAACGCTATGACCCAGCCCAGGCCACGCCTCCCCCTCCTCCGTTGCCCTCACAGTATACCCAGGTGGCTCAGCCGGTCGCCAGCTCTTCTGTCCACGTGCACGCCAAAGGAGCCCATGGGGAAGGTAGGCATTTCAGAGGTCGGTGGTGTCTCCGTGTTACGATAGTGTTGCGGATTTCAGCTCATGGAATGTTGAAGCTTTAATTGGTTTCTGTGTAAAAGCTACATGCTTGAAATCTTTAGGCTACAAGTGAAAACTAGTAATTTTGTTGAAAGTGTGTCTCCTCTTTTCATGACTGTGACCAGTATACTGGACAAGCCTTTTCGCTAAATGAGTTTAGTCATTTTTAGGATAACTTAATTTTATGTCAGTCACCAAATCCTAGGCAAGTAATATTTAATTATAAGTATATCTAATTTAAATACTTAAATAGTGGATTGTAAACACTATAGTTCGTTTTCACACATGGACCAAGGAAGGCCGTGAAGTTTTAGCATTCACTGTGTTGCGTAGCACCTGCTGTGAAGGAATTCAAACAAAGTAGATACCGTCCACTTTTATTTTTTTATCTTTTTGTTGTTGTTGTTTTTGGCGGTACTGGAGATTGAACTCGGGACCCTGCGCCTGCCAGGCAAGTGCTTATTCTACTGAGCTACCTCCCCGGCCCCAACATCCACTTTTATTAACTTGAGTAACCATGTAATATATTACCCAAAGAGTGTAACACAGTTCGTCCATTCTCCTGTGGACAGATCTCACATATGCTTGACACAGGAGTCAAATTCCAGGCTCTGTCTTCAAAAACACAAGTCGTTGTTCTGCGTTTATACTGCTTTCCTTAAGGTTTTCTCCACACACTCTCACATGTACAGATGAAGACAGTTTTAATGCTTATTTTTCCATGTTTGGGCCTGTTTGTGTTTTTTCCTTGCTTTATTGTATCTGCCAGGGCGTCCAGTGAAATGCTGAAGAGAAGTGGTAAACGTGCACATCTTTTGATGGTTCTCCATGTTGAGGAGAAAGGATTGAATTTTTGACCTTTATGACAGGTGTGGGTTGTACGTGCTGTTTTAGCATGTTCAGGAAGTTCTTGCTGTTGATAGTGCACTGAGAGCCTTGTGACAGATTGCTTTGCTTGTATTAGGATCATGTTTGTCTCTTATTTCCCTTAATGTAATGACTTATGTTATGTTCACGAAGAATTTAGTATAGTAATTTTCTTGTAATAGTCTTTTATCTGATTTTGCTATCAAGGTTTTGCTAGTTAATAAAAGAAATGTATGACATGTTTCCACTTTCTCTGTTTTTTCAGTTTGTAAAGATTGGTTTTATTTTTCCCTTAATTTTATAGAATTCACATTACTGTTTTCTACTGCCTCCGCAATGTGTAATATTCCTATTCATATCTTTTCTAAGACTTGGCCTTATCAAATGTCTCAATTTTGCTATTTTTGTTGGTATAATAATGCTGTTTTGTTTATATTTTCCTGACTAATAATGAGATGTCTTTACAGTAGAGTAACTAAGCACTCTAGTATTTGCTCATTTTTAAAGTTTGGTTCCTTTCCTAAAGGTGCTTTTCATAGGTTTAAGGCACTAATCCTTTATCAGTCATACATTTTGTAAATCCATTTTACAGCTTTTTAAAAATTTATTATTGTGCAGCTTTTTAAAAATTTATTATTGTGAATTTTCAATACTGAATTTTTTTTTTAATCCACACTGAAATTTTTAATATGGCCAAATCTTTCCTTTCGTTTCTAATTTGGGATAGGTATTGGAGAAGAGTTATGTAGATACCAGTCTCTGGAGGCTGGGACCCCCACAGCCTGACCTGAATTGGAGGCAGCAGAGTGTACTCACACTACCACCTACGTCCCTTAGCATCATAACCAGTCCCAAAGGCTCAAGAGCCATCCCAGGGTTCCATGCCACCAAACTAGGACAAGTTAAACCAGAAGGGATATCATGGGGCTGTTTCGACTTCTTTCAAGAAGTTTTAGAAATGCCTCTGTTTGTGTTTCAGGTAATTCAGTCTCGTTGGATTTTCAGAATTCTTTAGTGTCAAAACCAGACCCACCTACATCTCAGAGTAAGCCAGCAACTTTCAGACCACCAAACCGAGAAGACACTGCTCAGACTACTTTCTATCCCCAGAAAAGCTTCCCAGATAAAGCCCCAGTAGGAGCTGAACAGCCTCAGAAAGCCATCGCTCCAGTATACAACCGGTTCACACCAAAACCATATACAAGTTCTGCTCGACCGTTTGAACGCAAGTTTGAAAGTCCAAAATTCAATCACAATCTTCTGCCAAGTGAAACTGTACATAATAAGCCTGACTTGTCCTCAAAAACCCCCACTTCTCCAAAAACTCTTATGAAAGCACACAGTTCAGCACAACCCCCTGAGTTTGACAGTGGGGTTGAAACTTTCTCCATCCATGCAGACAAACCTAAGTATCAAGTAAATAGTGTCAGCGCAGTGCCTAAAGCTGTTCCCGTAAGGTAAGGTGCTTCATTAGCGCTGCACTTGGGATGATGTGAATCACGTGACTCGGGACTTCTTCACTGTGCCTTTAAAAAAGTAATTGCAGCAAATGCTGTTGTGCACGGCACAGGTATCCAGCTCCGTGGCCTTTCTGAGTGAAAGAAAAAAAATTATTTTGGTCATATATAAAATATATGCTATAGTTAACATATAACTTTGCTTTTCATATTTTAATTTATTAAATTATTTAATAAAATAACCTAAATTTAGTGGCTTAATGAGAAAACTTACGTGATTTAATACCAGTGACTGCCTTCACGGGCACGCACGAGTAGCTGGCTTGGAGCACCGTGCCCAGTGGTTGCTGCATTTGCTCGCCGAGCTGCCGTGCGTGTGTGATGACTGGTACATGGAGGTTGCTCCTCAGCTCAGTGTGCGTGGGTGATGCTGCCCTGCGCCCTGTCCTCCAGGGTTCCATGGCCGCCAGTTCAGCCTAGCTAGAGCACTGCACAACTGAGTCAGGACAAATACTGCTACAAATTGCGATGCTAAAAGTTTACAAACTGTGAGGCAGCATTGCTTAGCTGTCAGGGTAGCAGGCGGCTCAAGGGCTGTGGGTTGGATATACTTGGTTGTAAAAAGATCTGCAGGAGGTGCAGGATATTAAAATTAGTGAGTTAGTAATAAGGTAAGGATCCATGAGTATTAGCATTGTCCCGGAGCTACCAAAAGCCTAGGTAATGGAGTGATTCCCCAGGGTCACAGCGCAGCTAGGATGCAGTGCCCTTGGTCCAGCTGCTGATTGTCTGGCCTCTAGGAAAGTGAGTATCTCCGAAATAGAAGTGTGTCTCTCTTCCTTATGGACTCTTTTTCCAATGGGGATGCTGACAAGAAATAGAAATGTAATGACTTCAGAGGGACCTTTAAAAAACAGTAAGGTAGTTCAGCAAACGAGACAAAGCGAGCCCGTCTGATGAGATCCCTTTTTCTTACTGTGTAATGGTTGTTCAGCCCCGCCTGAGTCCTCAGCCCCACAGTCGCGTCAGTACAGTTACATTTCATGCCAGCTGTGACATGGAAGCACTGGCAGGTAGAACCCATGGCCAGGAGGGCCACCTCTAGTCTGCTTCCCAAGAGAAGGATGTTTTGTTTGATATTGGTGGCCTCAGCTCAGGTCTGTTTGGCTTGACCATCTGGGGATCGAACCACAGCATCCTGAGCCTCACTGCTTTGTTGCAGTAGGTACGTAGACACCTGAGCTAATGGGCAGGCCCCCTGCTTCCCAAGAGGAAGGATGGTTCTGTCAGTCTGTCAGGGCTGTTGCTGGGAGGCGAGGGTCGGGGTACTGCCTCAGGTGAGGAGCTTCCTTCTTGGGGCTGTGTCATAGGAAACTGTCGGTAACACACAGCCATGCTGGAATGAATTTCAGCTCCTCTTCATATACTTTTATGTTGTTGGACCATTTTTCCGTTCATCTGTAAGTCTTGGGTTGAAACTGTACTCCTGAAGCTTAAGATGCCTTTAGTTGTGAGATGCACCATTGATTTATGGATCACTAAAAAGAAAAAAATCCCACCAATGAAATTATGAACATGAGTTTTAAAGTACTAGGTTCAATGATTTTAAAACATGCTTCTTAAAACGCATAATAGGTGTATGAGCAAGGTACCAGGTTTTATACATCCAACTACAAAATCAGCAGTAATGATGAGTTGCCTAGTTGTTTTCAGTAATGTAGTTGATTTTTCTGGGAGTAATATGCCCTCAGTGATACCTGTGATAAAATCTTTCATTAAAAGTTAAAATAACTTGATTGTATGAAGAAATAAATGCATGTGCTTACTACAATAGCAATAAAAGAAGCTGTATGAGTTTACTCACCAGCTATTTCTGAACTCTCAGTCCTTCAGCTGTGGAAGAAGATGAAGATGAAGATGGTCATACTGTGGTGGCCACAGCCCGGGGCATATTTAACAGCAATGGTGGGGTATTGAGTTCTATAGAAACTGGTGTTAGTATCATTATCCCCCAAGGAGCCATTCCTGAAGGAATTGAGCAGGAAATCTATTTCAAAGTCTGTCGAGACAACAGTATCCTCCCACCTTTGGATAAAGAGAAAGGTAAATGTGTTTATTTTTTTGCTCAGCTTAAGTAACTTAAGGGTTGTCCTTTGTACACTTCAGAGTTTAAAGTGGCCAGTCAAAGAGTAGCTGCTCTTCTACCTTTCCTGTAGGCCAGTGGTGGCAAACTTCTGATACATACTGCAGTGGGCTGGCTCTCTGTATGATTGAAATTGTCATTATTCCATTGGGAAGGATCTCCCATAAGAACTCTTGAGTGGTGGCATAGACATGTAGGTGGCATGCAGTGAGACCTTCTACATGACATGCATTGCTTTTCAGTGTGAAATCAAGAGTGACAGCAAGTAACAAAGTAGCAGGTCATTGAGCATCCCCCCATGACTACCAGGCAGTCTTGGCTCATGTAACCAGATTTCTCTTGGAGTCAGTCAGCCTCTACATCTTTTTTGACATGGGTTAGGACCCTACCCCAACCCCTCCCTGCCAAGGCTGCCTGACTACAGAAGGTTAGCTTCTTGGGGCATGAGCTGTCTCAGCATCCTGCAAACTAGTAATGATAAACTCCCTGCAGAGTAAGTGACGTAGTCCAGAGGACACCACAGTAAGTTTCTGTACTTCTGGAGGAGCTAAGAACACTCTTACTTTCAGTCTTCCTGGATCTGTCAGGGTGGTACAGGACTTTTTGGGGGGCACTGTTTAGTAGTGCTTTGCTTTCATAAATACATTACTTAATCTCATTCTTTGATGTTTTGCTAGACTACTAACACCCCCAGTTCTCTATTTTTAGGTCATCTTGTCTTAAAATCTAGTAGGACTAACTTTGTTAGTCCTGTTTAAATTCCTTTGACCAAGGCTGTAGCAAACAGTTTTACATAAAAGATATAAGTAACATTTGTAAAAAGTATATTTGAATATTTTACGCTGTAGTTCTGGTATGATTGAATATAGTAGCTACTGTGCGGTTATTATGAATTGAAAGGTGCTCAAAATGTGAAATACTGATTTTTATAGGTTTTGTTGTGTTTACATGTTGAAATCATTTTTTTCACAGATGGAATATAAAAATTGATGGCAACTTTTTCTTTTCTGGCATGGCTGCCAGAAAATTTAAGTGATATTTGTGGTTTCCATTGTACGTGTACTGCAGTAGAGAGCTGATGTCTGAAGTAGGAGAGGGTGAGGAGAGGTTTGTGTCCAGAAGGAGGGCTGCCATCTCACGCCCTTTCATTCCCTTCTCTGATTCCAGGTGAAACTCTGCTGAGTCCCCTGGTGATGTGTGGGCCCCATGGTCTCAAGTTCCTGAAGCCTGTGGAGCTGCGCTTGCCACACTGTGCGTCCATGACTCCTGACGGTTGGTCTTTTGCTCTAAAATCATCCGACTCCTCGTCGGGTACGCTGTCTTCACTCTGTCCTCTGGGGCTCTGGGTCCTGTCATTGATTGATGCCTTGCCTGGTGTGCTGCCTGTGCTGCTTCAGCAGACCTGTGCCTCTGTTCTTATGGCCGTGTGGGCATCCCCGGTGTTTTCACGTTTCTTCGTTGATACATATATCATAAACAAAAATGGAAGGGTGGTGAAGTTCCTGCCTTTAAAAAAAAATGATTTGGCCAAAAATGGATAAAAATTGTTTTGTCTGTCAAAATTTTCACGATGTCACAAATTTGTTACTGTCTTACACATAGATATATTTTTATCTTACTATTGAAATGATTGTGTTCTTTTATGTAATATTTCAGTTTTGCTTACTCTTCTCCATTCAAGTGTAGAGCACGTGTGCTGGAGGGACTCGAGAGATGGCCTGCTGTGAGCACACTCGGTTGTGATTTCTCAGTGTGAAATGCTTAGCAGTCCTCTGTTGTGTGGGGTTTTTTTAATGGCATTTTTCTCTTAAAATCATAATTTCAAAGCTTCCATTATATTTTCACATTTCTCACTTCTTGAGTGATTTAAGTCAGCTACAGATTGGAACTATTTTTACTATTGGTATAGATCACTTTAAAGGAATGTAATACAGAAAAATAAGAGTTTAAACATTAAGTTTTGACAAGAACTCAGTTTCAGTTTGTGTGGTTATAGAGGCTACGGGATAAAAATTATGGTAGATGTAGATGTTACCCAAAAGAAGAGCATTTTGTGTTTGTGTTGAGGGGTGTGCATATACCTCATGTTCTAGAAAAATAACTGCCTACTGTAGTTACTTGCTTTACAAGTGATCTTCCAGATACTTGCAGGAATTATATTTGATTCCCACGTTCGTTATTTCTAGTGTTTTTGTGATAGAGGAGTTGTACTCAAGTGACATACTTTTTCTATAAATTGGAACATACCCAGAAAATAAGTACTTTTATGTAATCCTGCATAACTTCAGGTGAATTGCTACTATTAAAAGTTTGTTCAGATTATTAGTGTAGAGCTCAAGAACCACTGACTTAACAAAAGCTAGTATCTGGGGGAAAAACAGAACTTTAAAAAAATGAAATGGTTTTCATTTACATCCAAAGTTGTCGTAATACTATCTCATTGATTGAACACTTTATTCTCCATAGCAATATGTGAGCCTGTCTGTATCTGTGAAATTATATCACTCTTTTTAAAAATCACGGATCCCATCAAAATGTATTATTAACTGCCAATATGCTTGGGTGATATGCACATAGCTGGTGTTGTTGACATTTTGGCCAAATAACCTTTTGCTGTAGGGATTGTACGGTACATTGTGGGATGTTTAGGCACTTCTCTGTCCAGTACCTCTAGAAGCCAGTTGTGACAGGTAAAACTGTCTCCAGACATTGTCCCATGGGCACAGAATCAGCCCTGTTGAGAGCTGTTGCTATTAGGAAGTAAATCTCTAGTTTTGATTCTCAACTTACTTGGATACCGCACACACTTAACAGTTGTTCCAATTTTTCTTCACATTCAGAACTTACTGCAAAGAGTTCTTAATGCTAGCTACAAATCTTGACACACCAGTTTTGTTAAAAACTCAAATGCCCAAGACCTGCCTTAGCCCTACACAGTCTTTGAGTGTAGGAAGCGCTGTGAGTGATTTTGTTGCTCCAGAGTCGGGTCAGCATTCTGGTGTTCAGTCTTGGGTTGGGTTGGGTTGGATTAGATTTGGTAAGGAAGAGGAGGGTCTTCAGGAACTAGATTCTGCAGAAGTTTTGAGGTCTCATTAGTTGAATATGACACATTTGCTCTCACATTTAGCTCCTAAGGTGATCACATAATTATTGTAGAAACTTTTGAATGTGAAAGAAAGATGTTCATCATAATTATAGAACGAGGGGTAGACTAGGACTGTCAAAGACATATGATTGCCCTAAATCACAGTGTTTGGAAAAGCCCAGAGAACCTAGTAATGTAAGAACACATTTAAAATGGCTTAATATGTTGAAGAAATAGAAGAAAGTTACTATCTGAATAGATGTATTCATATTTTACCTATAATTGTGAGGCATTGAGAGTAACAGTTTAGCTAACTGGAAATGACGTCAACTTCTTTTTTCTCCTAGGTGATCCTAAAACCTGGCAAAACAAGTGTCTTCCTGGAGATCCAAATTACCTTGTTGGAGCAAACTGTGTTTCTGTGCTGATTGACCACTTTTAACTTTAAAATATAGGAACTTGATTAAATAATGTGAAGCTGGATTGAACTTGCTGAATCTAAATGGAACCACTCTGTCAAGTATTACACTTCTCTTAGAATCGCTACTGCAGTGTGTTAGTATTAAGCCTTCGTTGGCACTGATGAAGATCAGTGAGCATGCCTGTGACCCACGGTAGAAAACATGCTGCGAACTGCGCGTTGGTGATTGACGACCTATGGGTGTTGGCTAGAAGTTCAAAGATACTTTGCTTTGTAATGATTTTTGTACTTTTTATGGTGACTGCTTAACTTCACATACTGATTTCCGTTAAAAGACCAGCCAGTAAATGGGGATGCATTTGAGTTCTGTTCTTTCCAAAATACACTGTTTCAAACTTTATAATGTCCCTGACCTAGCATACACACTTTATTTTATTTTATTTTATTCTCTTTTATTTTGCATGAGGTAATATGCACACATTTTTAAAAAAATGCACCTGGATTATATAACCAGTATAATGGATTTAACAGATATGTACAGGAGGGAACTTAACGACTCTGGGGAGGGTGTAGGTCGAATGAAGACAGTTGCTCATTGTAGATGAAAACACGTTCTTCGTAGGGAAGGACACCAAAGCATGTGAAGCTGGTTCCATGGCTTCTTTGGACCTATAAATTAACCGTATCACCACAGACCTACTGACCAGCAGGAATGCCTTATCCCTGTATTTTTAATTCTTAGCTCATTCTCGCTGTGCGCTACTACTAAGCTTCTATGGTGTGTGTGTACATCAGATAATGTATCATGAAAAAAGATTGAGTAGATTGTGGATGTGGTGGTTTCAGAAATGTGAAATCACCCAGGAGAAAATAATAGTGTAATGTATGGATTTCTTTTCCTTCTTTTCTTTTTCTTTCTTTCTTTCATTCCTTTCTTAAATTTCTGACAAGAGGCAGTGGTGGTTTTCTGTTCTTTTTGGCTATGCATTTGAAAACTTCAATGTTTTAAGGTTGCTTGTAAATAATTGCGTGCATACCATTTTTGTTCTTGGTTTGTAAATTAACTTTTATAAACTTTACCGTTTTTATACATAAACAAAACCAAGTTTCTAAAGGCTACCTTTGTATTCTCTCCTGTACCTCTTGAGCCTTGAACTTTGACCTCTGCAGCAATAAAGCAGCATTTCTATGACACACAAGGTCATTTTTTTAAAGAAAAAGAATGCACAGAGTTGTTACATTTTTAAGTGCTGCATTTAAAAAATGCAGTTACTCAGAATTCTCTAGTTTGATTAAATTCTTGCAAAGTATCCCTAATGTAATTTGAAATACAATGCTGTGCCCTAAAGTGTATTTTTTTACTAATAGACAATTTATTATGGCACATCAGCACAATTTCTGTTTAGATAATACACCACTACATTCTGTTAATCATTAGGTGTGACTGAATTTCTTTTGCAGTTATTAAAAATCTCATATTTCTAAATCTACAGAATAAAACTTTTTAAAATAAATTACTGGTTTGGTTTCTTTGCCCACTGTTGCTAGTTCCATGCAGGTGTGTAGTCCTGTGTTAGAACCCCACCCTCCACCCTGGGCCCGAGACACCCGCTGCTGCCTCCCCATGTCATGGGCTGTGCATGCAGCTTTTCCTGCAGCTGGGTGCTGGGGGATGGACGAGACCACTTGGGGGCTCCAGCTTGGAGCACGGAGTTAGGAAGGAAGCGGCGGGTTGTAGACTGCTTTCTCACGTGCATGTTTCATGAGGACCAGTTCCTGCATGGTGGTGTTGCCCAGAGTGCCACTACATTTGGGAAAGAAATGGTTTATAACTCCATGGCGGCTGCCATGTTTAACCCCCACACATTTTGCGTAGTGAACATCTTTGTGGATTTAGTTCATCTTTGTGTATTTTGTGTTTTTTTTATTAAAGTATAATTTACATATTGTAAGTTACCCTTTTTAAATTTCTTTGAATTTTTGTAAGCATAAAAACCAACACATCTTTTTTTTGTATTGTTTTGTTTTGGTTTTTTGTGGAACCGGGGATTGAACTCAGGTCCTTGCACTTGCCAGGGAAGCACTTATTCCACTGAGCCTTCTCCCTGGTCCCCACATATACTGTTATCGCCCTTGCCACCACTAATATTCAGAGCAGTTTCCTCACACGCCCTCTCACCCTAGACCCCCTCAGTTCCTTGGATCCTCCTTGCGACATCAGTCTCTTTTTCCAGGTCGTGGGAGTTGGTGCTCTGTTTCTGTCCCTGCAGTCGCCTTTGTCAGCTAACTGAGGTCATACACCAGGTAGCCTTGGATGTTGGCTTCTTCCGTGGTGATATCGTTGAGACATGTACGGCAGCACAGGAGTTGGCGGTCTGTTTTATCACTTGAGTATTCAGGGTCTTTTTGGTCATCTCATTCAGCAGTTAAACCAGAGAAGAAACTGCTGGCTGTCCTCCAGAGTGCTGCACACTTTCACGTTCCCACAAGCGGTCTGTGCGGGTCCCACTGCTCCTTGGTGCACTCGCAGCTGCTGGCATCGAGGCTGTGCTGGTAGGCTAGCTCTGTGTGGTTTGGGATTGTGTCTCTAATAACTCCTGGGGTTTGTCATGGATACCTCTTCTGATCAAGTGTTAAGATGTGTTCTATCGTTAAACATTGGGCTGTTTGAGCACTTCTTACATGCCGGCATAGATTCATTTGACTAATACATCATTTCTGAACGTTTTTTCAGTCTGTTCATTTTCTTAATAGTGTCTTTCAAAGAGTAGGAGTTGTTCATCTTGATGAAGTCCACTTTTTCAGTTTATCGTTTCATTGATTCTTTGGTATCTTAGCTAAGAAAATGTTTTCTAACTTGTGGCACAAATACTTTCTCAAGTTTTCTTTTAGGACTTTTTTTAGGTTTTACATGTATGTTTGAGTGATCCATTTTGAGTTCATCTTACATACAGCACAAGGCATATTGTTTTCATTTAGTCTGCTCCACTGTGACACATGTGCCTCAGCGGGCTATATGTATCATTGGAACCTCTAAAAAGTTTGCCATTGCCGGGCTGTTCTGTTACTCATGCCCTTACTGTAAACACAGACCATGGTAGCCATGAATTCTCAAACCTACTTCAGCTCCCCAAGCATTGGAATTACAGGTATGTACTACCATGTCTGCATTTTAACTTGTTTATTTTCTCCCTAGCTTGCTTTCATTTCAAACCAGCTGGTAGCAAAGGAACTATTAAGGTATAAAAATGCTAGTTTCTTGGGGATTCACAAAGAAGGTATGTAATAAACTTGAATTTCTAAGGCCGGGAACATGGCTCAGTAGAATAAGTGCTTCCCTGGCAAGCATAAAGGGTCTGAGTTCAATCCCCAGTTGTGCAAAAGAACAAAAACAAAGACTTGAATTTTAATTTCAAAACTAAAGTTGGTACTACTTCAACTGTGTTCAGGCTCTCTGCTGGACGGGCTGTCCTCAGCAAGCTGTTCCCGGTAGGTGAGGAAGCTACATGCCGTAAAGCACAAGAATTCATTTTTGTTAAACCCAGCCTTTTGCCTGCTGGAACAGTGCCCCAGGGAAGATGTGTACATTCTGACATGCCTGAGAAAGTACTTAGTGGGACCTCGAGGACCCACATACACACACACTCTGCCCTTTGCACTTGAGTCATGTGGAATTGGGTGCAGAGGCTTTCTGGTATTTGATACTTGATCCTGATTTTCTGATGTTTGTGCTAGGCTTGGTTTTCACAGTCTTGGGGGAGACCTGGGGTGTAGAAGGTAAGTCTTAAGTGGATTTGAAAACATACAGATATAAATCCTTTTTAACCACTTAAAGCAGAAAGACAATACGAAAAAGTCACGTGGCAAGTATGTTTACGGTGTTTGGTGTGCAGGTGGGGAGCCTGTTGTTCATACTAATGGCCCCTCAGTACTTAGGAACTGGTGTGGCAGAAATGGACATAGAGAGGAGACAGTGGGATTCCTTCAGTGGAACCCCAGTGCTGGGATGCCTAGAGAGAATCTCTAAGATACGGGGTTTCCCAAGACATCTTGTCTTCAGTGACTCATAAGGAGGATAGTCTGAGGATGAGGCGTCAGGTGGGATGGGCAAGGGGCATAGCCACCAGGCAGAGTCACACTTTTCTGAGAAGCTGTGGAGTTTCAGAAACATTTCAAACAAAATGGTTTAAGGACATACTGAATTTCTTAGCAGACTTACTTAAAGGAGAACATGTGTAATGGTTACAGCAGCCCCTGGGGCTCGTTGGTTTCTTGACAGGTCCAGGGAGGAGGGCGAAACTTTCTCAGTAGTGTACTGCTCCTGGCAGACAGGTGGGGGTTTTCTTTTGCTTTTAATGTTTTAGAATATTCTAGTAAATATGTCAGATGCTGTTATTACAAATCCATTAACATGCCCTATTTATGACAGTGCAAAAGTCACAGATTTTTTAGGAAGCATCCTAGACATGAGTCCTTGAAATACCTCTGTGTCCTTCCAGAGGCAGAGGACAAGACGCAGCACACAAATAGAGCGAGAAAGTGCTAAAGCTTCATAGCACGAATCCTGTTAGATCGTGGCCCCATCCGCCTTTAGGATTTCTCTCAACCTTTACTTCCTTAAAGGTGCTATGTCTAAATACAGCCACTGGGGATGAGGGCTTACATACAGGAGAATAATGCGTTCACTTACTAATGTGCAGTTTTTTTCTGAAATCATTTGAGCATAAGTTACCCACAGGATGCACACACTTAACATAATTGATTTTGGCTTTATGTATTGGCTGTTTTTCATTGTGGGGTCTCTATATTTTTCTTCTGGTTTGAATGCATTTTTTTTTTCCCCTAGATTTTGAAAGTATATTGATTTGGAAGTCATTGATTTGAAACTCCTTTCTCAGGCAGATATTTTAAAAGTATAAATTCCCTTGAGATACTGCTTTAGCTTCATTGCCTAAATTTTCATATATTGTGTTCAATTTTCATTTAGTTCAGAGTATTCTAATTTTTGTTGTGATTTCTTAACCTATGGGCTATTCCCAAGTGATGTATTTTGCATGTATTTGGACAGGGTTTTCTCAAATCTCTTGTGATCTTAATTCCTTTCTGATGAGAAAACGTACTTTTGTGATCTGAAGTGTCTTCACTCTTGAAGACATTTTATGGCCCAGCTCTTAGGTGTATCTGCATAGTGCTCCCATATCCTTGAAGAGATTGGGAGTTCTGTGTTGGGTGGGCTCAGAGACATAGCGTGAGTGCCCTGGCCGGTGGTGTGGCTCGGGCCTCCGTGGCCCTGCCGATTCAGAAGGCGACCTCAAGGACTCCAGCCGTGGGTGCATTGCCTGTTTCTCCTTTCAGTTGTGTCAGGTTTTATGTATTTTGAAACACTGTTGCTAGGAGCATGTGTTTATAATTGCTTTTTACTTCACATTTAATAGTTATGAAATGTTGTGAAATGTCCTCTTTCATTTCTAGCAGTATTTTTTGGTCTTTCTGCTTTGGTATTAGTGTAGCCACTCAAGCTTTCTTACAGTCACTGTGTGGCATGTCTTCTGTTTGGCTTTTCATCTCTTTCAATGTAAAGTGTATCTCATACAGTGTGTGAAGTTTGATCTAGTTTTATGGCTTTCTGTGTCAATATCTGGTGTGTGCAGATAAATCAGAAGGCTGGGCTGTAGAAATAGGCAGACACCCACCTCCTGCAGCTCTTAGGCCTCCTCTTGGAAGAAGCGCCGGGGATTTTCTCGAGAAGAAAATTGGAGGCTGTGATCTGCGGGTCAGGAGTTAAAAGCAAAGCCAGGGAGGACTGGTGTGCTAGGGCAGGCCAGGTTGACAGGGATGCTGCCATTAATTGGAAAGTTCCTGAAGCCCAGGCACCTTCTCTGCCCCGGGAGCTGCTCCCTGATGGCTCCTTGCTCCTCTTGCCCAAGTGTCCTGCTCTGTCTCCAGTTCCTCCTGAGTCACCTTGATTCTAATTTGGAAGAGGTGTCTGGTCCATTTTGTCTAAAGATGGGAGTACTTGAATCTCCAGGACTGTGTTCAGCATCTCTAAAACTAGATGACCATGTTGGGAGTGTGGGGCTCTCTCACCTGTGCTGCTGCCCAGTCACCCCTGTCACCCCTGGTGGCCCAGATGACTACCATATGCCTCCTTGTCCCTCAGGCTCTTGGAGGGCTTAGTGATCCACACTACCCCCACCTGGGTGCCACAGTGTGCCCTAAGCCTGGCCCAGCCTGCTCTTGTGTCCTTGCACATTGTACCCTGAGCCCTGTGGCATAGCACTGAGTGATGCTGCAGAAAATGTTGATCAGTTGTGAGGAAAATTCCCCTCAGAAAACTATCTGCAGGCTCTACGCCAGTACCATAGACCTAGTGCTTCAGCCTTTGAGCACAGCTTGCAGTGTCAGCTGTTAGTTCATTTCCTGGCAACCCTGGACCAAAGGAAAACTGTCACCTTGGGGAAAGCCTCAGACCTGTGCCAGTGTCTCCCCATGCTGTGAGTGGGCTGTGCCTGCC